TTCCTTTGTACATGTACAAATGTTCTGCTCTATTACATTTCTTTAGAAAGAAAACTACTCAAGTAAGAATCAAAGTGTCAGATAAAACTAGCAGCATTTTCTAGATTACCTTAACGATGGAAATGCCGTGCAGCAGTCCACAATCTACAACAATAATAACACTAAAGGAAAACTATTCATACTGTATCGGTATTACACATAAATAATATTCAGATCATCTGTGAAAGTGAAGCAGAAACAGAAAACAGAACAATAAAATGATGCATTTCTGTAAAAATATAATCATTTCTGGAATAATAACATGCAACTTTATTTGTCCCTTTCAGACTAAGAATGCTTGGAAGTTTCCCGGGGGTCTTTCAGATCTCGGAGAAAACATTGGTAAGATAATGCAATAAAATGCAGATAAAACATGACCTGCTGCAAAAAGATCATCATCTGAGACACTCGAGAGTTACACAAATACTTGTGCATGTGTGTGTGTGTGTAGACTGTACACTGGATTATTATTATTATCATCAACATCTTTACATTATAATACTGCTCTCTCTGAAAAATAAATGATCTGTATAAAGGCTTGACTATAAAAGATAACATATAATAAAAGACGTTTTGCCTGCGGTGTGTTCGTCTAAAACTAAACTGATATAAAAGACAGTAAACAGATGTGTTACAGTTCAGAGTGTGTGACGTTTCCAGCAGCTCGGATGATCAAATATCTTGTGCATCTGTGTTGTAAAATAGTGTTTTTATATTGCAAGTTTATTAAAGTGTTTCACAAAATGACACACAGACTTCATTCAACAGCTCATCATCAGATTATTCCCTACAATGGAATGGTTGGGGGTTGTACGAAAGTGAAGAGCGGGGGTATTTGGGTTGCGGACGAAAGTGAAGCGCCAATGGGGGGTTGGGGGCTGATAATGTCTCTGGGGGCCCCTAAATGTGCGGGCCCTTAGAATCGTCCTAACTTTCCCCCGCCTAGCGGCGCCCCTGCCGAGATGTCATGTAGACACAGTAAATTAGCCATGGTAAATGTGCATCTCAACTATACTGTTGGTAGGGAGATCCACAGGGTCATTATACTGTACATGCCCGGCTGCTATTGCCAAACCTTCGGTCACTCATGCCAGTGCCAAAAATCTTGGATTCCCCAACCGGGAGAGTTACGCTGTGGAGAAGCCCCAAAGAAGCGTGTCACCCTGACTGCTGATGCCCAGAGTGAGGCATGAGAGTAGATCAGTGATGGTTTGGGTTCAATATCATGGCATTCCCTAGGACCAACACTTGAGCTAGATGGGCGCTGGGTCACTGCCAAGGGCAACTGACCCATTTTGGAGGACCATGGGTCAAACATTGTAATACACACAGCAAAACTGCTGACAGAGTAGTTTAATGAACATGAGAGTGAAGTTGAACATCTCCCATGGCCTGCACAGCACCCAGAGCTGAATATTATTGAGCACTTTGAGGTGTTTTGAAGAAGTGAGTCAGGAAAGGTTTTCCTCCAGCAGTATTTTGCAGAGACCTGGACACTATTTTGAAGAAGAACAGCGCAAAATCCCTCTGGCCGCTGTGCAGGACTGCTATCTGTCATTCCCGAGAGCAGCTAACGTTGTATTGGCTGCAAGAGGAGAACTTACACCAGGGTGTCTAAACTCGGCCCTGGTGGCCCAGTGTCCTTCTGAGTTTAGCTCCAACTTACTTCTAGTACAGGGGTGCCCAAACTCAGTCCTGGAGGGCTGATGTCCTGCATATTTTAGTTCCAACCCCAAATAAACACACCCAAACCTAATCAAGCTCATTCATTCATTTTCTTTTCAGCTTATTCCCTTTATTAATCTGGGGTCGCCACAGCGGAATGAACCGCCAACTGATCCAGCAAGTGTTTCGCGCAGCGGATGCCCTTCCAGCTGCAACCCATCTCTGGGAAACACACCATACACACCCATTCACACGCATACACTACGGACAATTTAGCCCACCCAATTCACCTGCACCGCATGTGTTTGGACTGTGAGGGAAACCGGAGCACCCAGAGAAAACACTCACAAACAGAGGGAGAACATGCAAACTCCACACAGAAATGCCAACTGACCCAGCCGAGACTCAAACCAGCGACATTTTTGCTGTGAGGTGACAGCACTACCTACTGCGCCACCGCGTCGCCCCCAACAAGCTTTTTCCAGGTATACTAAAACTTCTAGGCAGGTGTGTTGAAGCAGGTTGGAGCTAAACTAAGCAGGACACCGGCCCTCCAGGACTGATTTTAGACACCCCTGGTCTAGTATATGTAGTAAGAGCTTGATTTTCTAGTTCAGGTGTGTTTGATTAGGGTTGGAGCTAATCTCTCCAGGACACCGGCCCTCCAGGACTGAGTTTGGACACCCCTGTCCTACACCAAACTAATGAATCTAAATCCAGGCCTTTCAGTTTCATTGTCCAACCCCTGTACACTATGCATAAAAACTTTTATATTGGATGCGATTAATCTTTGCCCAGGACATTATTATATTTTTGTGTGTGTGTCAAATACAGCAGACCCACACCCACCCTCTACTCCATCCCCCTTCATATATATTTGTCTGTTTCTGCAGCTGATACAGCAGTGCGGGAGGTGTTTGAGGAGACGGGCGTGCGCTCAGAGTTCCGGTCTCTCCTCAGCCTCCGCCAGCAGCACACTCACCCAGGAGCCTTCGGGATGTCTGACCTGTACCTGATCTGCAGGCTGCAGCCGCTCTCACACCGCATACACATCTGCACGCACGAGTGTCTGCGATGCGATTGGCTGGATCTGAGAGAGCTGGCGGAGACCAGCGAAACCACACCCATCACAAGCCGCATCGCCAAACTGCTGCTGTACGGCCTGGAGAACGGCTTCCAGCACATAGACCTGCACATGGAGGAGCTGCCGGCCGTCTATTCTGGATTATTCTATCAGCTCTATCACAGACCCATGCCTGACGGTGGGAAACAGTACTCTAAAGGGGCCATTTGAAAGGTCCCATGAAGTTAAAATATGTTTTTTAGAAGTCATTATCAGTATGTTAGTTTTAAAGATATCTATAAGCTCAGAAACTGACAAAATTAGCATTTATAAGATATAAACCTGATATAAACATCCATAGTTTGCAGTTTTTCTCTTTCGATATTAAATGGATCGAGTTTTTTTTGTCGTTGCCTCATACTTATCAAGTTTTCTGACCAATCAGATGCTGTCTAGTGTCTGGTATGCACCGCCCCCTTTTTCTCATTGGCTTTTCATTTGAGCTCAAACACTCTTAACACTCACCAAATATTTATATAGTTTTTTTTTAAGGGGAGGGACTACTCTATGCCCCGCCCTCTTTTCATGTTTCAATTAAGATTACATCAAACATCCAATAAAAAAGCAGATTTCACAGCTTCACAGGACCTTTAAAATAGGGCAGCATGATATATAATGATTGCGATTAGTAATATATGTATAATTTTATAACAGAATTTTATATATAATATTATTTTATTTAAAGTATCATTTTATGTGCCAAGCATTTGAGTAAAGTCTAAAAGGGATACAGCTATGGATACTCACCAATATAGCATCATATTTGTGATATTGTACAACAATAATGAATATTTTACATTACTGTGAGGGTTGGGATAGCCGTCTATTCTGGATTATTCTATTATTCAAATATATTCATATACATCATAAATGACTGATAGCCCCCCTAAATTACTGATAATCCCTCCCAAAATTAATAGCTTTGCCCTAAATTGCTGAAAACCCCGCCTAAAAACAATGATAGCTCCGCCCTAAATTAATGATAACACCTCCCAAAATCCCTGATAGCTCCGCCCTAAATTACTGATAACTCTGCCCAAAAATCACTGATAGCTCCGCCCTAAATGACTGATAACCCCACCCCAAAGTCACTGATAGCTCTGTCCTAAATCACTAATAACCCCCCCAAAATCACTGATAGCTCCGCTCTAAATGACTGATAACCCCACCCAAAGTCACTGATAGCTCTGTCCTGAATCACTGATAACCCCGCCCAAAATCACTAATAGCTCCGCCCTAAATCACTGATAACCCTGCCCAAAATCACTGATAGCTCCGCCCTAAATCACTGATAACCCTGCCCAAAATCCCTGATAGCTCCGCCCTAAATCACTGATAACCCCCCCCAAAATCACTGATAGCTCCGCCCTAAATGACTGATAACCCCGCCCAAAATCACTGATAGCTCCGCCCTAAATCACTGATAACCCTGCCCAAAATCACTGATAGCTCCGCCCTAAATCACTGATAACCCCCCAAAATCACTGATAGCTCCGCCCTAAATGACTGATAACCCCACCCAAAATCACTGATAGCTCTGTCCTAAAATACTGATAACCCCGCCCACAAATACTGATAGCTCCTCCCTAAATTTATTTGATAACCTCACCCAAAATCACTGCTAGCTCCGCCCTAAATGACTGATAACCCCGCCCAAAATCACTGATAGCTCTGTCCTAAATCACTGATAACCCCCCAAAAACACTGATAGCTGCACCTAAATTACTATTAACCCCTGCCCTAAATAACATAGCCATGCCCAAATTAACTGATAGCCCCCCTTAATTACTTTACATTACTGTGAGGGTTGGGTTAGGGGTAGATGTTGATAAAATACAATTGAATGTGTTATTTAATAAATAATATGAATAATACCCTGTATAATTACTGCTTTTAGATTTAACTGTGAAGGTTGGGTTTAATCTGTCTTGAAGAGCTGATGAAATGTTCTGTGTTGAACCTCAAAACACTTTGACTTTCAAGAGTGTGTGTGATAAATAGATGATGATCGGTTTCTGATGTGCTCCCAAAACAAACCTAAGCAGCAGATTTCTCAGAGAAACCTCAACAAAACGACTGTTACCTTTACTCGCATAACAATCAAGTCCTTCATGAAAATAAAGTCTTTTTCTCAATCAACATGCCGTATGAAAAATAGAATAAAGTTCTGTGTGAAACATTCATGCTGTGCACTGAATCCCTTCATTAAAGCAAAACCCTGCGTTTTTAAAGCCCTTTTTACCTCTAAAATACAGTATGGAAAGCCTTTTACATGAAGAGCAGCATTAAATAACTCACATTTCGTGGCTGTACAAGCATTCCTCACAGTCAGACGTATATCTGTGAAACTGCCTGCGCTTCAGGGAGTACACTGGAGGACTGTTTTGGAAAGTTGGATGTGAGATCATATCGGTGGGATTTGGGGCCGATTTGGCTCCAGATTGTCCAAAGCATCTGCAGATATTGCTGAACTCTCTGAGATGACCGAACATGAGCAAATAAACCCGCCGTCTGTGCTCTCCAATGTGTGTGTTGGGCTCCTGTGACATATTTTCCAGAGAGTGGATGGAGGTCTGATCTCTGATTTCTCCATCAGCATTTGGCCGACATGGGCAGAAACAGGATGGCCTTCTGTCCCGGGCTGGTTTTAGAGCCGCTTTTATACTGGCCGGTTCTCTTCAGAGCCACGTACCAGTCGGGATACTTGCGGGATCTGTATGTGTTGTAGTTGTTGGACTCCAGGCGCTCCAGGAAATAACATTCATCTGTGGTCCTTTTCTGAGACAGAGAGAGAGAAAGAGAGATTTTATTTGTGTTTTACACTTAGTTCTTCACTTTCTTAACGGAAGTTAACATTTTCCTCATTTCCCATATCGTGACATTCATAAAAAAATTAAAGCAAATTTCATCTTTATGGAACTGATTAAATCATTGGAAGATGGGTGTTTCTAGCAAAATGCAAGATGATTGATGAATGGATGAAAGCAGGGCAGAAACGACACACAAACTGATGCCCTAAAAGATTGATATTCCCTCGCTAAATGACTGATAACCACACCCTAACAAACTAATAGCCCTGTGCTAAATGACAGATAGCACTGCCCTAATTGACTGATAACCGCACCCTAAGTAACAGATAGCCACCTTCTAAATGACTGATAATCCCGTCCTAAAGGACTAATAGCTCCGCCCTAAATGACTGATAGCCCCACCCAAAATAACTGATAACCCCGGCCTAAAGGACTAATAGTCCTGCCCCAAATTACTTATAACCCAGCCATAAATAACTGATAGCTCCGCCCTAAATGACTGATAGCCCCCCCTAAATGACTGATAACACAGCCCAAAATCACTGGTAGCTCCGCACCCAAAATAACTGATAGCCCCGCCCAAAATGACAAATAACATTGTCCTTTATTACTGATAACTCCACCCTAAATGACTGACAGCCTGCCTAAATTACTGATATCCCAGAGCAAAATCACTGATAACCCCGCCCAACATTACTGGTAGCCCTGTGCTAAATGACTTACAACCACGCCCTTAATTACTGAAAGCTCCGCCCTACATTACTGGTAGTCCTGCCCTAAATAACTGATAGGCCAACCCTAAATGAATGATATCCCCGCCCTAAATAACTAATAGCCCCATTCTAAATGTCTAACAAATAGCCCCGCCCTAAGTAACAGATAGTACCCCCTAAATGTCTGATTACCACTCCTTTAATATCTGATACCCCCGCCCTAAATATCTGACTAATAGCCCCGCCCTAAATAACTAATAGCCCCATTCTAAATGTCTAATAGCCCCGCCCTAGTAACTGATAGTACCCCTCTAAATGTCTGATTACCACACCTTTAATATCTAATACCCCTGCCCTAAATTTCTGACTAATAGCCCCGCCCTAAGTAACTGATAGCCCCATTCTAAATGTCTAACTAATAGCCCCGCCCTAAGTAACTGATAGTACCCCCTAAATGTCTGATTACCGCACCTTTAATATCTGATACCCCTGCCCTAAATATCTGACTAATAGCCCCGCCCTAAGTAACTGATAGCCCCGCCCTAAATAACTAATAGCCCCATTCTTAATGTCTAACTAATAGCCCCGCCCTAAGTAACTGATAGTACCCCCTAAATGTCTGATTACCGCACCTTTAATATCTGATACCCCCGCCCTAAATATCTGACTAGTAGCCTTGCCCTAAGTAATTGATAGCCCCGCCCTAAGTAACTGATAGTATCCCCCTAAATGTCTGATTACCACACCTTGAATATCTGATAGCTCCGCCCTAAATATCTTACTAATAGCCCCGCCCTAAGTAATGGATAGTATCACCCAAAATAACTGACAACCACACCCTTCATTTCTAGTAGCTCCGCTCTTAGTATCTCACTAATAGCCCCGCCCTAAGTAACTGATAGTACCGCCCTAAATGACCGATAACCACGCCCTTAATTACTGATAGCTCCGCCCTAAATGACTGACAGTTAAATGACTTGTTTTAATGAGCTCCACCTGCGACCCTCACGACAGCCTCTCCATGAGCTGAACCTGATGCTGATGTTCCGGCTTGTGTTGCTCATTAAACATGTTCGAGTGTGTGTCCGCTGCTCTCCTCAACATCAGTGTGTTTTACTGGAGGATCAAGCTGTGTTTACCTGGAGGCGGAGGTCTGGAAATCAGCTCCTGACAGGAATGTGGATCTGTCCGTAACACTCACCTGTAACCTGACGCCTTTCAGATTCACACAGGATATTAAAGCTGAAGAATGAGTGTGTGTGTGAGGGAGGCTGAGGGCGTCCGGTGAAGTTTTGACAAGGTGTGTGTTAGACTGAGAGTGTGTGTGAATAAATGTGCATTCACTGTTGAGCAACACCCTCACATCAATGACTGCATTGTTTCAGGAGCTCAGAGCACTGGTGAGCTGTGTGTGTGTGTGTGTGTGTGTGTCTGTATGTATGTGTGAGAGTGTGTGAATGTGTCTGTCTGTGTGCATGTGTGCTTGCATGAATGCGTCTGTGTGTGTGTGTGTATGAATGTATGTGTGTGTAAATGTTTTTCTTATGTATGAGTGTGTGAGTGTGTGTGTGTGTGTGTGTGTGTGTGTGTGCTTGCATTTGTGTGTGCAGGATCTCTGCAGGATCATCTGCTTTATATGTGACTCACCGTCCCGAACAGTCGTCCGTCTGCGTTCATGGCAAGGAAACGGTTGGTACAGATGCCTTTAATGAGTACTTCACCCACTGCCGTCGCCTGCAGCTGCAGACGAACTGATGGAGAACACACACACACACACACACACACACACACACACACCTTCAGTCCATCACAACAAACATATAGTTGCTAATTAAGTAAATAAAATGCTTAATTTATTTACATTTGATTTATTACTCAAACACATTTATGCTTTCAGTGTTTTGGGGATAACAATGATGTCATCATGACCTGCAGTAACCTGTGTATTTCAACAGATTGCACTGATTACCAGCCTCAGAGCTCACACAACTGCTCTGATATCAGTTAATCATTCAATTTCCCTCAGCCTAGGCCCCTATTTATCAGGGGTCGCCACAGTAGAATGAACCACCAACTATTCCATAATATGTTTTACACAGCGGGTGCCCTTCCAGCTGCAACCCAGCACTGTTAAACACCCATACACACTCAATCACACACACACTCATACACTATGGTCAATTTAGTTCATCAGTTCCCCTGTAGCGTTCCCCTAAAGTGTTCCCCTCCAGCACAGACATGATGTAAACAATGGACAAATAAATGCCTGAAAAAATACTATAGTAATGTATAACAAATACTGCAGTGATCTTGAACTATATAATAGTAAAGTGCTCAAAGTAATCTGTTGTGGTGATTCTACAGTTGCTATGGCAACACAACAACAATAGTAATTAATCTGTAGTGATGATTCTGCAGTTGCTATGGCAACACAACAACAATAGTAATTAATCTGTAGTGATGATTCTGCAGTTGCTATGGCAACACAACCACTATAGTAATTAATCTGTAGTGATGATTCTGCAGTTGCTATGGCAACACAACCACTATAGTAATTAATCTGCTGTGGTGATTCTACAGTTGCTATGGTAACACAACAACACTAGTCATGAAACTGTTGTGGGGATTCTACAGTTGCTATGGTAACACAACTCCTATAGTAATTGATTGTTGTTGTGATTCTGCAGTTGCTATGGCAACACAACAACTATAGTAATATAACAAATGATCCAATACTGTAGTGTTTACAACTATAGTATATTATACACTCTCTGAAATAAAGGTAGCCTATGTGAGCTTTCGCTGGGGTGGTACCTTTTCAAAAGGTACACATTTTTAAGGGTTCATTTTGGTACCTCAAAAGTATATATTAGTACCTACACATTTTAAGAGGAACACTTTTGTATTTTATAGGTTCTAATATGTACCTTTGAGGTATTAATGTGCACCTTTTAGGTACAAATTTGTACCTTTTGAAAAGGTTGGGGTGATTTCTGAGAGTGTACTAATACACCAGTTAACTCTTATATAAGTGTATTACAGTATTTATTACAGTTTATTAAGGCATTTGTTAAAGAGTTGTAAATACTACAATATATGCATGATCAATACACTTTACTACAGTATGGTTAAGCAGTTACTGTAGATTGCTATAGTATTATTTCACGGTGGAGGTCAATAAATGAAGCTTTGGGTGGGCGTGGTTTGTGAAACGTCACTCAGTGGTTGCTCTTAACAACAGGATTTTTAATCAGTGAGTCCGGAGAGATGTTAGTTTCAGTTTCAACTTTAACTCATGGCCTTCATCTCCTCTTCTTCTACTGAGCCTGACCGAATATGGAAATTATTTACTTTTCATTCACACACACACACACACACACACACACACACACACACACACACACACACACACACACACCAGACTCTATAAAGGTTTTGAAAGTTGTGAGGAAAATCTCCATGATGTAACACTACAGAATCAAACAGACAGCTCTCTGTGAACTCCTGAACTGCGTGTGTTCGTCAACTTTTCTGAAAATAACACACACTTTTAAGTGGAGCTGGAAACCTGACGTCATCACAATAATCATCATTGGGCCCTGATATTCATCTGTGCTCCACAACAGACGCATAAAGAGCCTTTGTGCCGATATAAGCCATCTCCTGCTGCTGCTTTCCCGTCATAAAGTTTGATTATTCGCACATTTTTTCTCCTTAACAATAAAACTACAGCAAAGTATTACTTTCAAATTATAAATATGGAAATCATATTAGCAGCCAATGAGTATCAAAGCACAGCAGTGTTCACAGTCAGTGTAATAGTGCTAATGCTGTTTCGAAGACTAGCATATGCGATTTCAGACACAATATTCAAAGTATGATGGTGACGTCAGATAATTTAGCGACACAACTTCGTTGAAAAATGAAGGGATGTGCGAATATAAGTCCATCATTACTCACTGTGCGGGTCGCTCTTGTCTCGGGCTCCGTCCACTCGGCCGTCCGCGTTGATCCGCAGGAAGTATCCTCCGTTTTTGCAGTACAGGCGCTTGGGATCCCTGAAGCTGCCCGCGGGAAAGCTGCTGTTTTCGGCGTCCGGAGCGGCCGGGAGTGTGGTGATCCCTCCGGTGGCCATCCCTCAGTCTGTCGGTCTCTGCCCCCTCTGCGCCTCTTCCTCTTACTTTTCCTACACTTCTTCTTCCTCCCGTTCCTCTTCTATCTCTTCCTCCTCCTTCTCCTCTTCTTCTTCCTTCTTCTCCTCTTCTTCTTGCCACTTTGTCTCCTTCCGGCGCTCAGACAAGCCTCTCATTAAAGTTCAGAGAAACTTAATGAAGATGATGATGAAGGAGTCTCTCTCTCTCTCTCTCTCTCTCTCGCTCTCTCTCTCTCTCTCTCTCTCTCTCTCTCTCTCTCTCTGTCTGTCTTTCATTAGTGATTTGGGGGCCCTAGGCAGTTCCAGCTATGGCCCTGTCGTTAAAACCCAAAACGCTCTCAGATATCTAATGTGGAACCTTTATCCTCGTAGTGTAATATAAAATACAAACAAATTCTCAAATAAAAACTAGCTCACAAACTCATTAGGTACAGTTAATTTGTGATTAGATTTTAATATTTGCATGTACAGAAGGAACGTCTCACTATTCGTAGCGGCCCCCAGTTCTGAAGTGTTAAAATCTTAATGGTTATAGACAGATTTTACATGATACTAATTCATGAAAGAACTGTGATAATAATATGATAATAAGCCGTTATAAGAATAAGAATAATAACAAGAGTTAATTAATTCATTTTCGGCTTATAGTCCCTTTATTTGTCAGGGGTCAATATAGCGGAATGAACAGCCAATTCCCAGCACATGTACACAGCGGATGGCCTTCCAGCTGCAACCCAGTACTGGGAAACACCCATAAACACTCATTCACACTTACAATTTAGCTTACCCAATTCACATGTACTGTATGTGTTTGGACTTATGGGGGAAACTGGAGCACCAGGAGGAATAATAATAATAATAATAATAATAATAATAATAAAGTACGTTTAAATAGGGTAAAAATATGTCTTGAAAAATAAGCTTGTTGGCATTGGTCAGTGCCCCCTTTCCCTGAGGCCCTACGCACTCTGTTAGTATTTTTAGAATTAAAAATACCCCAACATTTAACCCAACTGTAGTTTATTATAGCACCTTCCCAACTTGGGTTAAATAATTTAAATTATTTTATTTTGAATAAATGTTATTTTTTTCATTATGGTATTACTATTGCTACTATTACTAGTACTACTAATAACTTTATAATTTTGACTGTGTAAATAAATATCATACAGTTTACAAAAATATTGAAAATGCTTTATTTCCATTACATTTTAGGTTCCAGACACAGCGTTTTTATCCATTTATTATAGATCAGCTATAAAGTGCATGTTTGTATCATCAATAACTAAGAGTGCGGGTGAAATGGATAGAAAAAACACGAAATGAAGAGATAATTTGAAATAAATAAACTTGAGCTTAAGCATAAAAAATGTTATAATGCAAAAACAACATTACGTACACATATTAGCACAGCTGTTCTGTGTCAGGTAAATCAGTTGACTGTTGAAATTGAAAATTTTTAACCCAACTGGTAGAGTAATAAAATAAATCACCCAACAAAGCACCAAATATTTAACCCAACTGGTTAAGTTAATAAATAATAACCCAATAAAGATAAAAAATAACCCAACAAACATCACATACTTTTAACTTAACCGTTGGGTTAAATAAATAACTTTGTGTTTTTTAGTGCATTTACACATATAGAAATATGCATACACACACACACACACACACACACACACACACACACACACACACACACACACACACACACACACACACACACACACACATACATAAGTACATATAGAGATATGCACACACAAACACACACAGACACATGCATACACATAAATAGACATTCACACACACATTGGTATTGGTGGTTTAGGACTCTCCACAGGCGTAATGTGTTTTATACTGTAAGAACCACTGTTGCGTCAGGTCATTCACTTTCACTGTGAGTCATTACAAAAGTAATAATTGGTAATTGGTGATGATGATGGTAATAATGATGTAGTATTATTTAACTAAATATCTTACCCAGCATGACTCAGACTGACGAGATGCAAAAACACTTGAGCCTGAATGAGGACAGCTCCTCTCCGGTGGCTGAGGCTGATCACAGAGCAGTTCTCTTTGAGGGTTTCCATCGGTTCACCACACACACACACACACACACACACACACACACACACACACACACACACACACACACACACACAGTTCCTCATCTGTGAGCAGGAGGAGATCACCACAGGATAATTCAAGAGCAGAGCAAAGAAGATCACAGAAGAGCACCACGCTCCAAGACTACAGCTGCAGATAAAACACAACACACACACACACACACACACACACACACACACACACACACACACACACACACACACACACACACACACACACACACACACACACACACACACACACACATACCTGACGGCAGAGTAGCCAATATAAGTCTGCATGTTTGTGTTTGTGTCTATGAATATGTGTGTGTGTGTGTGTGTGTGTGTGTGTGTGTTTGGCGGCCTCTGGCAGGCGCTAAAGTGAACTACATGCTCAGCTCCTGTCAGACTTTAAAAAAAAAATTATTAAAGCTTTGAAACATTACATAAAGTGATAATGCAACAATTCGTATATATACTATATCCAAAAACATTTCTATAGTTACAAAAATAACAACCAAAAATGATACTGAAGCAAAAACATAACAGGAGAGATAAAAAAATATATACAATTAAAAAATTGAAATAATAATAAAAAATAAAATAGTCTTACAAAATACTTCTATACATATAAACAAAAATAATAACTCAGGATACAATCATTGACTATAGAAATCTAACATTACATCTTTTTGTTTTTAATTTGTATTAGAGACTTTTTTCAATTTTTCCATTTCTAATAAAAAATATTGCATTTTGGTATACATTTCGAAAATTTCTGTTTATGTATAAAATATTTGCCTTGCAAAACGTAGAAGTTCAGCTCCTGTCAGACTGTAGTGTATGGAAGGCCGTTGGGGCCAAAACGTCTGCAACAAACGTGTTAACGCGTAATTGCGTGTTAACGCGTAATTAACGCGTTAACACGTCATTTACGCGTTAACACGTTGGTACGTGTTAACACGTCATTTACGTGTTAACACGCAATTTACGTGTTAACACGTTTTTTTTAAACTAGTCTCATTTTTTAAAGTGCTATCATTTATTCATTCTCCAAACTGCTTTTTTAAAAATGTATAATGTCATGTATTGTATTATGAAAGGCCAGACATCTTCTGTAATGTTATGTTTGATGGTATAATAATGTATAATAATAATAATGTTTGTTATTCAGCTGCTGATATTACTTTGAAAAATGAGTCCAGAGAAATCAGAATGAGATTTATTTGACAAGGGTGTGCAAACACACAAAAAATGTTTTTTTTCTTCTCAGGAGCACAGATACATAAATACAAATCAACACAAGAAAACAGAATGACATAAGTGGATAAAGTAAATACAACATTTTGGTAACAAAATCATAAACAGTAAGGGTAAAAACAGGCAGCAACTGATCTAATAATGAAGATCTATAGAGATAAAGATGTGTAGAAAGGTCAGGCAGGTGCACAGAAATAATCCTCTGTGCTGACAGTCCGCTGCAGTCTTATGTCTGATTTGGTGGCCGATCCAAACCAGACAGTAATTGAATTTTTGTCAGAGGAAATGGCTGCAGATTCTACATTCTCATACTGTATACAACATGTCATAAATTACTAAGCACAAATTATTAAATGCAGAGTAACTTATCTTGCTGAGGTTTATGTCTGCAAATAATTTACATATTGTATGACTAACATTTTATAGCAATCCTGTTTTCTTTATAATATATATTTATGCATGTAATATATATTTGTTTGCAGAACTTTGCACTAGATATTTTTGTCTCTGTACTGGAAGCTCCAATCACCAAGACAAAACACTCCTTTGTGTAAACGATTGAGGTAAAAAAAAAAAAAGCCAAAATTATGATTTACTAAATCAAAAGTACAAGATAAAGTCAAAATAATGATTTAATAACTCAAATTTATGATTGAATAATTCTGTAAAAATTACATTACAACAACAGGCGGTAAAAAAAAAAAACAATCTTAATGTGTAACAATTATCTAAATATTTTGTATAATAAAACCTGATATAGTTAAAATGTTTTACATAATTGAACATTCATGTACATATTTGTGATTATAAATGGACACACACACACACACACACACACACACACACACACACACACACACACACACACACACACACACACACACACACACACACACACACACACACACACCTTTACCTTTGAACTTGTGGGGGAAACCAGAGCACCCAGAGGAAACACAAGCCAACACAGGGAGCAGGGATGGGCAAAAATACACAACCACATTTTAAAATAAAATCCCAAATCCATCAATTTTACATGTATCAATATAAACTACAAAATACAGCAGCCACAAATGTATCAAAGTAAAGTTCTATATATCTTTTATTTTAAAATACACAAAATACTTTTACAAGCAAGCAGGAAATTTCGTCACGAAATAGGCATATTTGGTCACCGTTCACCGTTACACTGACTACATTAAGTAAACAATGTTTGACAGCAACAGGGCTTGAGCAAGTTTAAATCAGCTTACCGGTCAACGCATTTACCTCTACATGAGGCATTTATAAACTCGTGTTTCTCTTTCATTAAAAAAAAATAATTGTACAAAATACATACAGAAAGTCCTGTCTTGAAAATGATCTCTTTAAAAAAAAACATGTATTGCAGATAATGAGTTAGACTAGATCTCATCATTGTGTTTTCATCCATTGAGTGGCCAGTAAAATTTACATAATCTCTTAACAGTCTTATATTTTAAAAGGGTGTTATATAAAGAGGTTATTAAAATTGTTTACTTTAAGTCTAGTTTTGTTTAAAAGGTGTAACAAAGAATTTGTAAAAATATATATACACAATATATTTGTGAAATAATATGGAATTAGAACTTAAATCTCAAAGTACACAAAATACTATATAGCAACGGAAAC